AACAACAGGTAAATTACTTAACTTAGCAACAATGGGTAAATTACTTAACTTACCAACAATGGGTAAATTACTTAACTTACCAACAACAGGTAAATTACTTAACTTACCAACAATGGGTAAATTACTTAACTTACCAACAACAGGTAAATTATTTAACTTACCAACAACAGGTAAATTACTTAACTTACCAACAACAGGTAAATTACTTAACTTACCAACAACAGGTAAATTACTTAACTTACCAACAACAGGTAAATTCCCACTTGGCAGGTTATCATGTTTTTGGTTTCTAGGAATACTATCTCCATTAACAGGTAGATAGTTGCCTAATGGTAGTCGTCCTCTTCCTCGACCTCTGCCCCTACCTCGAGGTCTACCCCGGGGACGACCTCTACTGGGAGGAATGTGGGAAAGCATATAAGACATCAGTTTCTCTATGTCTAATGATGCTGACTTACTACTCTTGCTTGGTGAATATGTCGATGACTGAAAGCTCATCTTCTGATTGGATGCAGATACAATAATACTGCTGCTCTTTGGTGGCTAGTAAAAAAAAAAAGCTACGAATTCATAAGAATTTAAATAATATATACAATAGTTTTTCACTACATTTTATCCTAGACACAAAAGTAGCTCTATTTTAAAAGGATTTTGTACGTAAAAATAGGATTATTATATGTGTATATGACTACTTTCTTTCCTTGTTTACTTTAATTCCTCATTTTTCTTGCAAGTTTTTGGACAAATGTAGCTGCCTGCTTCACTTAAATTTCTCTTTTCTGTCTAAGCTAAACATATAATATTTTATCCTCACAAAGGAAAAAAAAAGATATTTACAATTCCACAATACAGTGTTTAAGAAGAAAAGAAAAACTTAAAACCATTATTGATACAGTCTTTCTTCATTCTACCTTTCATTTTTGTAACAAACAAGAGGGAATCCTCAATAGTCATGGCACTTGAAATTCTTTTAGGCAGGATTAGAGTATTGTTCCGTCACGTTGTCACCCTCTTATATATATATACCAGACTACCCTATATCTAGTAATCTCCCGACTATTCCCGAAGGTTCGAGAGAAGTGGCGTGACACTAGTCACGTGACCTCGCTGACGCAACAGTATATTAATCTATGAGAGATTTATATTCCTTTTTATTAGCTATATTTTTGTGCGCCACCAATACAAAGCATGGGGAGCATGTATGCCCAATTCGATTTTATTACTCGTTTGGATCTCTACCAGCCTACTCTCAAATTGATATTTTAATCAGGATTAGAGTAAATTAATCTGTTAAACCTTGGGCCTGGTGAAATACATCAATCGAATAGGGTTTGACCTCCTAAGTCGAAAACTGCAATTAGATCTCAAATTGGTCAAGAGATGATTAAGCTACGAGCTAAAAGTTTGTACATGAAAATAAACTCAAGAGCTGTTCTATGAGCCACTATGCCACAGCTAATAAACTAAGTTTATACAAAAATACAAACCTGCTTTAGCTGACCATCTTGAGCAACCCAATTCCTTGGCTTTCTTCCACGCCTACGAGTTCCTGGCATTAACAAAACTCCAGCAGTAGCAGGCTGACTACTGACCAAGGGGTGGTGTCCAAAGGACAGTGAGAAAGTTGTGTTACTTCGTAAAGAAGTGTCTTCTATTTGAGTGGTCACTGCACTTGATTCATGTTTTTTGATGCACAAGTCCAATGGAGCAGATGCAGATTCAGTGTCACTTTCTGGACTTGGTTCTGATGATAAACACACAGTGTTGATAACACTTGAATATTCTTGTTTAGCCTTTAAATTGAGAGGCTCAAAACATTCATCCTGTAATATGAGAACAAAGTTGAAAAATATATTAGGCTTGTCATACCTCAAATGCTAACATTTAATATTCTTGCACACAATAATTATAAACTTAAAAATCTAATTAAACAAAGCAAACAAAAATGTAACTAAAATAACAATTGAATTGTATAACGATAAGTTGAATTTTCTATAGAAATGTTTCAAAATTTGAATACAAAAAATCCACTACATACAGATTACATCTGTTGTCCATTACATCTGTTCTTTAGACAAATGATAATTTACATTTTATATATATTAACATCTTATCACTAAACTAAGTAAAATTTTTGTTGTTTTTTCTTTAACTCCACTGTTAACATGTTTGTTTTGCTTCAAGTATACAGTATTGAGTTTTAAATCTACTGTTAACATGTTTGTTTTTCTTCAAGTATACAGTACTGAGTTTTAAATCTACTGTTAACAGTTTTGTTTTTCTTCAAGTATACAGTACTGAGTTTTAACTCTACTGTTAACAGTTTTGTTATTCTTTAAGTATATAATACTGAGTTTTAACTATTGTTAACATTCAAGTACATTGTATTGAGTTTGAAATTACTGTTTAGAAGTTTCAACTTTACTGTTATTATACATGATCAATTCAATATCTTTTTTTTAAACAGTCTAAAGTGAAATCTAAGAAAAGATTCACATGACTGGAAGATTTCTGTGTCTCAAACAAAACTAATCAGACAGTCATATATTGTTGAAATTAAAAGTAGAGAATTGTTACCAATCTTGTACTATTATTCAGACAAAGAAAAAATAACAAAATCATTATTTGTCTGTTATCTAAGCAAAACAAAATAAATGTAATATATAATACATGCAGATCTCACAATGTGAAAACAACTTTCCAGTGTTTTTACTCCCATATCTAACATTTAATTCAGAATACTACCAATAAAGTCACACAATAATCTAATGTAAGTTACACTTTTCAAAGAAGTTAAAAAATAAAGTTTAAATTTATAGTTAAGAACAACATACAAGTTAAAACTACTATTTGTATCTCAATGGGATAACGTAATTTAAAACAAGTGTCTAGAAAGTCAATATTCTTCCTCACTCCATCAGATTTGTCTTCCTGATTAGAAGCTGTTTTTGTAGATGTTGTCAAGTGAAGTTTTGATTCCTGGTATTTCTCACATTCTCTACTTCCGATTTCTTGTAAATGTTCGGCTGTGGTCTCGTTGGTTTCACCATTTATACTACTACTACTTGCACTTCTGCTAGTAGAACCATTACTGCCATCGTCGAACCGGGTATCATCTGAGCTGGTTTCTACAGAGGAAGCTTCGAGCTAAAATCAAAGGTGTGATTACTTTATTTCATAATAAAATATTACAAGCTAAAAAATTATCATGTTGATATACGAATTAGAATGAAGTAAAATAAAAGATTCCTTCATTAAATCAGTTTTATTTATAGTAATATATCATGTTCACGGATTACATTTAGTAGAGTCAGCTTTTACTGCAGTGATATCATGTAAAGAACTTTTAATTATGACAAATCTAAGCTTCTAAAATCTAAAGGTCAAGCTTAAAATTACATTTTCAACATTCAAAATTTGATGTAACACACTTTCAAATCTCCAGTGGCATGTTTTATATTTAAATACATTTTACAACTATCTACATTCCTTAAATCAAACTTATGTCAGATTATTTTACAGGATTCTTCATTTAAATTTATTTAACTGTAAAAAGTAATCATTCTAGTCTCACTTCTAAAATAGATTAGGAACCAACATATTTTACACTCTATGAAACAGATAAGAGACAACAGTGTTTAACACAAAAATACATCTGTCATAGAAACAGATACCAGACAACAGTACTTAATACAACAATACATCTGTCATAGAAACAGATACCAGACAACAGTGTTTAACACAACAATACATCTATCATAGAAACAGATACCAGACAACAGTACTTAACACAACAATACATTTGTCATAGGATCAAATACAAGACAACAGTACTTAACACAACAATACATTTGTCATAGGATCAAATACAAGACAACAGGTTTAACACAACAATTAAAGCTAAAAAACCAGCTCTCAGCCAGAAGGTGAGTACATGTTACAACATCTTTAACTATGAAAACATAAAGAAAAGAACGTGAACTTTGATCATTGAATATGAGGTGGAATAACAAAAACTTATGTTCTATGATGTTATTATAGCTAACCAACATTTACCTTTCAGAAGTTTACATAATAATAACTCCCGACTTTATGAAAGATAAACAAAGCAGAAACACAAAGAGGCATGCTCCAAGAAAGAATCAAACATATTTTGGAATAGGGAGATCAGATTAATTCAAATAGTTCTCAACCTAAAACACCACAGCAATAAGGCCTTGAAATAATACTAAATACTTATATGCTGACACAAGTAAAGCAAGTTAAATTGAATTCAAACCTAAGTGGTCTATTCAATTGGAAAATATCATTAAAACAATTTCCCAAAAACAGTGAAGATGACAAACTTAAAATAAATGGATGAGAGGAACATAATATTTCCCTGAAAAAAATTGCAGCCATAAAACATTCTAGTGACCATGTAAAACTTGATGAAAAATAAAAAAATAATAAGAATTGTCCAACAACTTAGTGACACAGGTTCCTATAATAAAAAAAAGAACAAGAATTGTGTAACAACTTAGTGACACGGGTTCCTATAATAAAAATGGAACAAGAATTGACTAACAACTTTGTGACATGGGTTACTATAACAAAAAAAGAACAAGAATTATGTAACAACTTAGTGACACGGGTTCCTATAATAAAAAAGAACAAGAATTGTGTAACAACTTAGTGACACGGGTTCCTATAATAAAAATGGAACAAGAATTGACTAACAACTTTGTGACATGGGTTACTATAACAAAAAAAAGAACAAGAATTATGTAACAACTTAGTGACACGGGTTCCTATAATAAAAAAGAACAAGAATTGTGTAACAACTTAGTGACACGGGTTCCTATAATAAAAATGGAACAAGAATTGTGTAACAACTTAGTGACACGG